TGATACAGTAAAGCAGTCTCTAGGGTCTCTGATACTGTAAAGCAGCCTCCAGGGTCTCTGATACTGTAAAGCGGTCTATAGGGTCTCTGATACTGTAATGCGGTCTATAGGGTCTCTGATACTGTAAAGTGGTCTATAGGGTCTCTGGTGAAGCAGATGGCCTCAACTTTCTCCCAGGGAGCAGCCTGTGCTTTTGAAAAACCACTTTGCAGTCAGCATTCTAATCCTTACCTAACGCCACCACCAGGGCTTCTCTGGAACCCTTTCGTAAAACCACTGGAAACAGTCATATACTGCTCAGTGCTCAAAGCCTCGCTGGCCTTCCTGAGGCCTGAGGGCCTGCCTCGCTCAGGGCAGGCTCCAGGTCCAGTCTAATGCTCTCCTCGGCTCATTGCAGGCCCTGGCCTTTGCCCAAGCCCTTTCTCCAGACATAAACAGAATGACACGATTTGGGGACTTTACGTTGGGAGTTGTTTCAAAGCAAAACAAAAAATGCTGTTCTCTCTGCAGGAAGACTCTGGCCCCAATGTGGACACTTTTGAGGACCTGACTGACCGCCCTGCCCCAGGTTGTCCCATCCTGGCCATCACCATGGGGCCCGCCGCCGGGAGCGTGCTGGGCAGCAGCGGGCAGATGCAGATCGTCCTGTGGGGGAGTCTCGCAGCCATGGCCATGTTCCTGCTCATCACCTTCCTCATCTTCCTGTGCTCCAGCTGTGACAGGTGGGCGCTCAGGAGGGCCTACTGCCGCCTTAGAAGAACAGTTTCTCATCAGTGCATAGGACAGCACGTGTAGCCTGTTGGATTAGCACTGTGATCTATCTTTTCCAGTCCTTATACACCTGATGAGGAAGGACCGAGGCGGACTCCTATGAGGGGGCTTCAAAGGCCACGCTCTGTTAATCCCATTTTCCAGGAGCATTCTGAAGCCTTCTTGTCTGACCCCCATTTAACAGATTTCCAACACCGAGTCCCAGGGAACAGCAAGCGGCCCAGCTCGTGAGCCACAGAACTGGGCTCGGGACCCCAGCAGCCTGGCCAAGGGGCTTTGCTTCTCAACTTAAGCCAGCAGTTGTCAACCTGTGGGTCACGACCCCTATCAAAGGGGTTGCCTAAGACCATCAGAAAACACATAAATATTTCACAATATATAATTACATATCGTTTTGTGATTAATCACTATGCTTTAATTATGTTTCATTATGTCCAATTTGTAACAATGAAAATACATCCTGCATATCAGATATTTACATGACGATTCATAACTAGCAAAATTACAGGTATGAAGTAGCAACAAAAATAATGTTATGGTTGGGGTCAGCACACATGAGGAACTGTATGAGAGGGTCACGGCATCAGGAAGGTTGAGAACCACTGGTCTAGGCTATCCTGAACAGTAGCTCTTCCTCTTGCCACCTCTCCCTTTGATGCCGAGGTCCAGAACATTCATGCTGGGCTGGTGCTTTTGGTAAAAGACTTCTTTTCAAAGAGAAAAAGCTTGCAAATTGTTGCTCAAGCATCGCTCAAGACTGCTTGCCGGTTGCCTGCTTGAAAAACAGAAAACTTTTCCAAAACATGGCAGGCCTCCTGCTGGGGCGGGTTTTCCCATAGAACTCAGTACCCCTGGAGCCATCTGGTTTGCCCAAGGTCAGACAGGAACTGAGGAAGCAGTGAGGAGCTACTTCCTTGTCTGGCTACTGAGGTTGAGGTGTACTGCAGGAGCGAAGGCAGCCACCTTTTCTGTGTGCCCCTAGTCTGAGGGGGTGGGGGGTGGGGGAGCCCAGGTGACTGGTACGTAAAAAAGCCGGCTATAAATGACATTCACAGATACTTGGCCACAGAAATTAGCTCACCTCTCCCTCGAGACTGCAAAGAGTCTCAGGACATTTTAAATGTTAATTAAATGAAAAAGTTGATTTTTATTTCACCTCTCCTAATATTAAAAGCTTCCCAGAAGGAAACAATGACTTTTTTTTTCTTTCCTTTTTCTCATGGGCACAACTCGGTCTTGTTTCCCTGTGTGTGGGCACGTCACAATCTAGCTAGATTGTGAATAAGCTCTAAACGTGTTTATCTGTATTTTATACATAATACATAAATATATTAAAACATGAATTACTATATTATATACTACATATCATCTTGTTATGTATTGTGTATAAAATATATAATTTAAAACTGAAACAACTTTAAAATGGGTCAAACTGGAGATCAAATGATAAGGTTTTACGCTTTCACTTAACTGCATCTGGCATAATTGACTTTACAATGCTCTGTCTGATAACAAAGCTGTTGTCCTCTGTGGACTGTGACCAGTGTGGATTCACCAAAGGCTTAATCCAAGGGTGGACCCTACAATTGGATTCTGGGTGTCCACTGTCATCCATAGCCTTTTTTAACAAACCAGTGTTCACAAGTTAAGCTCTGGTACCATTCCCTCCGTGAGATTTGGATTTTATTATTTACAGTCCTTGGATCACACAGGCTGATGAGCTTCTTCTACATGGGCTTGGTTGACACCTTGCATTAAAGATATTTTGTTTGCTACCACTGGGAAGTTATGGGAGCTCTGGGGACTGGCTACTCCTAGCAAGTGCTCTTTTGCTCAGGGAGCAGTAAAGCCCTTTCTGGCAGCACCAAGAGCAATACTTCTGAGACATTTAGACACTGTTGCTATGTGGTCACGGAGCCTTGGTAGAATGGAAGCCAGTGAAAGTTAGCCCACCCCTTTCCAAACTTTCTCCTCAGTAACTGCACACACAATTCCATAACCATCGTGTAAACTCTGGATATGGCTTCGTACCCTAAAAATCTCTGTGAGGAGGAGAACTCTATAGATCTCTCTGAGCCCAAGTAGCCTCTGCATCCCCATCCAATGAGGACCCAGCCTCCATTCCTTGGGCAGGTCAGTTGGCCAGGAGTCCCTGTGCCTGGTAGGACACTTCTGCAATTACTCATTGGCCCGGTAGGCGTCACTGTTGCCTTTCAAGTATTGCTCAAGGGCTCTGGTGCTGAAGGCTGACTGCCTCAAAGAAAAACAAACTCTATTTTTACTCCCCCAACTTTTCCCTGGACGGGCAGCACCCGATGACTCATCCCGAGGGTATTTGCCCTTCCCAGCGTGCCAGAGCTTGTACTTGCTTCCTGATTACCCTCTCCATTCCATTGCAGCGTCTGACTTTGCAAAGTGAAGCGAAAGGAGAATTGTTGGGATTTTCTCAAAAAGGGGAAGAAAAAAAAAAAAAAGCATCCCTGGCCCCAGCATTCTAGATATCAACAGTTTCTGCTCGGTACCTGTCTCTGCCTTTTCCTTGTGCATTTCTGCTTTCGAGTGCTCAAAGAAAAGGCTGCTCAAAAGAGGTGGAACGGCCCGCTGCTGGGCCTGGATCGCCCCGTATCCCTAACACCTGTCCATCCGTGAGGGAACACAGGGAATCAAATGGCCGTTTCTGTCTTCCTTTGTTTTAAACATGAGAGACAGGTGTGGGCCGCACCTGGGATGCATTGAGTGCGAGTGACCCAGAAGACAAAAGTTCTACCACTGACCTCCCCATGCCGCGCGACATCTCGGGGTACATTTTAGCAACAGTTAAGGAACCCTGGCGGTTCCTTAAATGTGGTTATGAGTTGAGCTGCAAACTGCAAGGTCAGCAGTTTGAAACCACCAGCCGCTCTGTGGGAGAAAGTCAGGGCTGTCTACTCCTGTGAAGAGTTATAGTCTCAGTAACTGGATTAATGGTTTCTTGAGGATATGTCAAAAGGGAGGTGGAGGGAGGGGGGCGGGGGAGTTAATAACAAGGAGTACCACAAAGAAGAAAATATTCTAAAATTGTGATAAAGATTGTGCAACTCTTCTTGCTATAATTGAATTGTTTTGAGATGTGGGCATGTCCCAATAAAACTATTAACAAAACAAAACAAGAATTACAGCCTCACGGACACACAGGGGCAGTTTCTACGCCACCCTACTGGGTGGCCTTGAGCCGCATCCACTCCAGGGCGAGTGAGTAGCGGCCTTTTGTTTTCTGTTCCAGAGAGAAGAAGCCAACGCCTCCCGGTGGAGATCATGAGAACCTGATGAATGTGGTAAGCCTCCCAACCCCCATGTGTGTGTGTTGTATGTACATATGCGTGTGTACATGCATGTGCCCCTGTACACATCCACCGATCTTTTTGAAACACCAGCCACGATCCAGGAGGTGCTGGGGTGCTTCCAGCCTAAAGGAAACCCAGGGCAGGAGCTAAGCGGAAGCTACCCCCGCCCACGGGGCGCGCTCCCTTTCTGGAGACTGACAGTCTAGACCTGCGCCATTCACCAGCTCTCTGGGGAAAGTTCCTGGGATAGGTGAGGCCAGGTCCATTTGTTCTGCTGCCAGGATGCTTTATTCTTTATTTCCCTCTGTCCATCTGCAGCACCAGCCAGTCATTAAGACACCAGGAGGCTGGAATTCAAAGTTACCCAAGGATTGCCACGGGGTCGGCAGTGTGAATCCACCTCCCTCTGCTTGGGAGAGAGATGAGGTGGCTGCTCCCTTACGGAGCCCTTGACGGTCTCAGAAACCCACAGGGGTGCCCCCCCTGCCCCAGCTGGTTGCTATGAGTCGGTATAGCCTAGATGACGTGGTTTTGTTTGGTTTTACATGGATTGCCTCTGCTTTGCTGGATTTCAGTGGGTTGTTTTGGGGTTTGTGTGTCCGTCTGTTTCCAGTGCTTCTGGGTAAAGTGGACCCATGCTGAGGAAGCGCAGACTGAGACAGGTCCCTCCCACGTGGTCCTCTCAGATTCGGGGTTGTCCCTGGAAGGACTGAGGAAGTCCAGAAGCAAGTCCACCTTCCTGTTCCCTGGGCTGGGCCTTCCAGAGAGCGTGCTTCCTGCCCCTGGCCCTTTTGCTTCAAGATCAGGCAAATCCTGCGTAAGCGAAGAGGGTGCAAAGAGGAAGTATGATGAGTCTAATAGAGAAAATGTGGCCAGCAAAATTTTTATCGCTCGCTGGGGAAGTGGCCCCACCGGGCTGCCCTGACTCCAGAATGCACAGGACCCCCGATCCCCAGCAGCAGACAGGAAGTGCTCAGGACCCCCTCTTCCTCCTGGAACCCCCGGGATTTTCCTTCCCTTCCTTCTAGCACATCTGTGCACGCCAGAACACTCTCTCTCTCTCTTTGGCTACCTCCCCACACCTGGGCTATCCCACCCTCTAGAAAGCAGTGGTTCTCAACCTTCTTCATGCCGCGACCCTTTAATACCACTCCTCATGGTGTAGGGACCCCCACCGTAACATTATTTTTGTTGCTACTTCCTAACTGTAATTTTGCTACTGTTATGAATCGGCCTGTGAAAGGGTCGTTCGACCCCCAAAGGGGTCGGGACCCACCGGTTGAGAACCGCTGCTCTAGAATGAAAATTGTTTAAAGAAAGACGTGACCTGCCCTCGCAGCTTGCTTTCTGACTACTCATCACTAGTCAAGCGGACCCTGGGCCTGGCATGTTACTCTGTTATACGTACAGAAAACCAGCCATCAAGGAAGGCCATCAGCCTCTCCGCGTGGCCTGGATTTGCTTGTAGGAATTTTCAAAAAAGGTTTGGTAAGCTGTGTTCAGCATGAATGCTTTTGTACAGCTCGAAGCCTGAGGCTAAGCTGGTGGTATTAAAATAAACTCGGAAGTCAGTGGAATGGACTAAGCCCCTTCACCCATCCCCTGCGGATGACAAAGAGGGATGTTCCACGGTGTTCTTCGGGTCCCAGTGCACCTTTTAAAGACCAGCATTGCACACCGCCTGTAATGCCAAGGCCAGGCAGCTGCTCTCCACCGGAGTCCGTGTCCCCTCTTGTTGGGGGCTCTAGTTCCATCCCGGAACTAAGGGATCGGATACCCTGTGACCTAGTGTAGCTGTTTGCAGATGACCAGGGAGGAAGCTCCACAGATGGCTCTGGGAGATTCTCGGCGACGCTACACTTCGAGGACAGGGTGTCCAGGAGCGCTTTCTGCCTGCGGGGTGTGCTCCGTATCTGGTCCGCCCGGTCTGGTAACCACTTACTCCTTGTGGTGACTGAGCATTTGACATGGGACAAGTACAGCCCAGGCACTCCGCCTTTAACTTTATCAAATGTCGATGGAAATGGCCACATTCGTCTGGGGGCTCGTATATTGGGGAGCACCACTCTAAGACTTTCCCGATGAAGCTGACCAGATTTGAAGAGGGTTATTTACTACTCTTATGGGATGCATGGGTTTGGGTTTTGTGGTGATTTAAATTTTTAGAAAGAACTGCGGATACTCTCCACGCAGCCTTGATGCTTTCTCAGCAGTGTTTTGTGTGTGTGCTTGCAGACATCTGACAAGGAGATGTTCAGCCGATCCATTACTAGCCTGGCAACCGATGCTCCGGCCAGCAGTGACCAGAATGGAGTGCTCACCAATGGTGACCGTAAGTCCTGCAAACATGCCAGCTTCCCACGCAGCCTCACCACCTAAGAAAGTTGCTGGATTTCAAAAACTGTAGCTCGAACACTGGGGAAGGTGGGGGGAGGGTCTTGCTCACTCTTAGTCTTGGTTCCAGCATTAGTAATAATCTCATTTGGACAAATAACAAAATTTTTTTGTGAGGAATAGTAAGAATGAACGATTGATTAAGTGACTTTTATGTGCCAGGCCGTACTTTAAGTATCGTACATGTACTCATTCATCTGTCCCAACCACAGCCTGTACATTATTCTCCCCTCAAACCAAGTCCCATGGCATCAAGGCAAGTCCAACTCACAGTAAGCCTATAGGAGAGTAGACCTCCTCCACAGGATTCCCACGGCTGGCATCTCTGTGGAAGCAGGCAGCCACAGCGTTCACCCCGGGAGCAACCGGTGGGTTTGAACCATCAACCTTCCTTTGAGAAGCTGAGCGGGTAGCCAATCAAAGCCAATTAAAAAGCGCATGGCCAAGGAGTCCGTTCTGACTCAGAGACCCTATAGGACAGAATAGAACTGTCCTGTGGGGTTTCTGAGGCTGTAAATCTTAACAGGGTAAAAAGACTCATTTTTCTCCTGTGGAGCAGCCGATGGGTCCAAACTGCTGACTTGCAGATAGCCACCCAGCACGTCGCCAAATACGCCGCCAGAGCTCCTTACTTCACCCTAGGGCGCCTATAAACTATGATAGCTCTGTACAACTTGCAAAGGAAGAAACTGCGTACAGGGAGTGGATTTGTCTTCTTTGCTGCTGTAGCAAATTACCACAAAGTTAGCTGCTATAAGCAATACAAATCTATTTGTTTGCAGTTATAGAAATCAAAAGTCCAACGTGGGTCTCACTAGGCTAAAAATCCAGGTGCCGACAGGGTTATGTTCTTTCTGGGCACTCTGAGGTGTCGAATCCGTTTTCTTGCCTTTCCTAGCTTCTAACAGCCACTCACAATCCTTGGCTAGTGGCTCCTTCCTCCATCTTCATAGTTAATGAGGTAGCATCTTCATAGCCCTCCCTGACTCCTGCCCTCATGATGATTCAGTACTTAAGATTATGATATGGTAAATTCACAAGGGTGTTTTCCAAATATCCTTTGGAGGCACTATTTCTGCTCCCCCATCTCCCCCCCCCCCCATGTGAGACACAGGTAATTTAGTAGTCTGCTCTCCGCAAAGTACACTCCATAAGGACAATGCCCACTGTTCTGCTTAATAGTGTATCGCCAACACCGCAGACAGCCCCTGGCACATAGTAGGCACTTGAAAATACTTGATCAGGGGAACAGAATGGCTTCACATGAGAACATTTCTTTGGCAGTCCATGGATTCCACATTTGTATTTTTAAATTTGAGACAGGGATGTTGGGGGATGGGGAGATGGATGCAGTGAGACAGAAGGGAAAAAAACTTCAAAGGGGAACATGGGGTTCTGGGTCCCCTTGTTCTGCTGCTTTAAGGGTACGTGTTTGCCAGTATGTCTGCAAATGACCTTTGAAGGGAGGATGGCTATTAATGTGATGCAGGCCAGACAGACAGAAGCCAGTGGAGTCGGGGAGCATGGCCACCACACATGCTCCTCTTTTGGGTGCCCAGCCTCTCATACCAGTTAACCCATTCGAGTCGCTCTCCTCCCGTGGCCACTGTCCATAAGAGTTCTCCTCACTGTCAATGACAGTGAAAGCCCAAAGTCCACTTGCGAGTCCCCACTCGGCTCAAGCCTCCATTGAACTCCCACAGACCGCTGACCAGGGGAGGACTTGCCCTCGTACAGAGTGCATTGGGAACGCATAGGTACAGTTGGGGTAAGAGGACCTCTGATGGCCTGGTGGGTATGGCTTGCACTGTTAACCACAAGGTCCACGGTTTGAAACCAGCAGCCACTCTGCGAGAGAAAGAGGAGGCTTCCTACGCCCCCAAAGTAATTACTGTCGCAGAAACCCACAGGAGCACGTCTTCCCTCTCCTGTGGGCTGGCTGCAAGTCAGAATTGCTTCGGTGGCAGTGGGTTTAAAGAGTTAGCTTAAAATTTAATATGTTATCCGCTGTTTTCCCTTTTGACCCGTTTTTACTTTGTTCTAACTTCTAATATCTTACACTTTCACTTGGATTGAGGTTTGTGTTTCGTTTTGTCATTGTTGGGGTTTGGGGTATGATTTTCTTTATATGAAATCCAGGATAGGTAAATCTTTAGAGACAGTACCTAGATTAATAATTCCTTAGGCAGGGGAGGTTCGGGGGCAATGGGGAGCTAATAATGATGAGTGCAAGAATGAAGAGAAGTTTCTAAAATTTATCTGGTGATGATTGCCAACTTTTAACATATTTCAACTATTGAAATATATGATATGTGAATTATATGTTCATAAAATAAGGTCTCCGCATGTATAAAGATGTAATGAAAGTAACTGTGGACCCAATGTATAGCCCAGGCAATTTATTAAATATGTTATTTGAAAGATATAAAAGAAGATTTTGGTTTAAAACCGTGATTGAAATAAGACTAACAACTGGAAGTCAGACACGTAGCTATAATTTGCAACCAAGAGTCTAATAAAAATGAGGCCTCTTGATTTAACTGAATGCTGTGATTCGCTCCAATGATGATGTGAGGAGTTATCTTCCTCACTTCCGCCTGTCTGTTGCAGTTCTTTCAGAAGACAGCACCATGACCTGCATGCAACATTACGAGGAAGTCCAGACCTCGGCTTCTGATCTCTTGGACTCCCAGGACAGCTCGGGGAGGCCTTCAAAATGCCATCAGAGTCGGGAGTTGCCCAGAATTCCTCCTGACAGCACAGTGGACACGATGCTCAACACGAGACGTGCAGATGGGGACCAGGGCCTGGGAATGGAAGGCCCATATGAAGTGCTCAAGGATAGCTCCTCCCAAGAAAATATGGTTGAGGACTGCTTGTATGAAACAGTGAAAGAAATTAAGGAGGTGGGCGCTACTCCCCACCCAGAGAAAGGCCACAATGGCAAAGCCAAGCCGACCCCTGCCTCGAAGGAGCTCCCAGAACCCCAGGCCCAGGGCAAAACAGAGTTTGCGGAATATGCCTCGGTGGACCGAAATAAAAAGTGCCGACAAAGTGTGAATGCAGAGATCGTTCTTGGATGCTCGCGTGATGCGGAAGAGGAAGCCCCGCCCCCTGTCCCTGTTAAACTTCTGGATGAGAATGAAAGCCTCCAGGAGAAGGCAGAGACACCGCCACAAGACGACGGCGCCAACGAGCTGACCACTGAAACTAACAAGGTAGGCCCTGGCACTTTCATTGGGTGTGCTTCTGTCACCACTGAGGGTGGCCTGCTGGTGCTGTCGGGTAGCATTGGGGTGCGGGCCGAAAGGTGGGTTGTTCAAACCCACCAGCCACTGTAGAGGAGAAAGATCAAGCTGTCTGCTCCCATAAAGGTTTAACACAGCCTCAGGAACCCTATAGGCCCTATAGCCCTGTAAGCCCTATGAGTCAGAAACAGGTCATTGGCTTGGGGTTGGGTTGGGTTAGGTTGGGTTGGGGTTTTCTGTGATGGCTAGGATGCCCACGAATTGTGGAGGTTTTTCCTCATGCACTGTTCTGGGGAATATATTCAAACACCTTCTAGTTTGTGAATGGCAAGAGCTGTTTTGGTGTCAGCTGCGTTGATTCCTTCCCCCGCTAAGTCAAGAAATAGTGAAAACTCGTCTGTCTAAAACATTCCTCTCTCTGCACGTCCTTGGGTATTTTTCAAGTTTTATGTTCCGCCTAAGTAGGGACACATTCTCCATTTTCTAATGTCAAAGACCAAGCGTGGAAAGGAAGGCTACGTTCTTTGCTGCGCGTCTAGTCCCTTCTGCATCTTGTTACCTCACGCGTGGTGACCTTTACCCTTCCACGACCCCAGAAATCAGTCTGGGCCAGGTCAGGAATAGATCACCTCTCAGTAGCCATGGACTTTACATCGTTGTGTACAAACCAGTGGCATTGGCATTGATTCCAACTCATAGCGACCCCATGTGTGTCAGAGTAGAACTTGTGCCCCTCGGCATCTTCAATGGCTAATTTTTGGCAGTAGATCTCCAGGCCTTTATGTTGAGGCATCTCTAGATGGACCTCATACCTTTCAACTTTCAATTAACAACTGTATCTGTTCATCGTTTACACCCCCCAGGGAATCCCTGAATCATTATGCAGTTTTTTTATGTAAACCAAATAAGTGATTTTACTCTTCAACCGTTTCTAAACAATAACCTATAACTCATGAATGTAGATATTCAACAAAGCTGTAACCTGTATCCACCCTCCACAAGTCTCCCCCCTCTCAGGGTCTGCCAACTTGGTATATGAGTTACAGTAACTTGAGCTTCACAACTCCAGTGGGTAAACTCTCCTTGGAATTTCACCAACTCCTTTTCCTGCACGCCGCTAATCCCTGATGTCTCTCTGCTGCACAGAAAACATCTTCCAGTCTGCCCCATCACTTCCATCCTGCTTCTTTGCATTTTCTCAGTCATCCAGGAGGCAAGGCCATGAGCTAAGAGTGAGAGTGGGTGAGAAAGTATTGGAGCTTTGGGAGAAAGAAGATAGGGTGTCGATGGCTAAGAGTGAAAGAATGTACCATAGGCAGCAGCCCAAAAGACTTCCTTGAGGAAGATTTCCCCACAGTGTTTGGAAAGATCCGCATGTGTTGAACTCTCCAAGAATTTACCAAAAGGAAATGAGTCTGAGAATCAATGAATGAGGAGCCAAGGTCATTGAGAAATGGGAGAGAGAAGCAGCCTGGGGTAAATGAAGAGTCGTGAGTGGTTCTGGTCCGTGACACACCTGGTGGGGTGGTCCTAGGGAGAGGGGAGGAAGGAGGGACTCGGAATGACTAACGCTATGTTCTGGTCTCATGGTGCAAAGACCGCAAGAGGAAAAGCAGCCATTGGGCAGAGGAGAGCTGAAAGAGCAAGGTCCTCAGGGCAGAGCCAGGCTTCCGTTGGCCTCAGAGAGTGCAGCTCTCATTCAGATTAGGGACTACAAGCTATTGGCGTAAATAAAATTTAATACAGCCTTTAATCAACTGTACTGCATGCTTTTATTCTTTGTAGATGTATTTAATTTTTCAAATATTAATTATTTGCCACTCGCCAGACTTACACATCTCAGATTTTTCACAAATGGCATAATTTTAGCTTTTCCTGGGAATTTGTTAATGCTGTGTTAATAATGCCTTAGGACATGTTTTTTAAAGAAAAACAGCCAGACCTTGATAAGCTTTTTTTGTTTGTATTGGAAAGGACATAAAGCATAGGGTGCATCTTTAACACTCAAGAACGTTATCTAATTGGGCCTCGTTAAGAGCTTTCCTAGCTCCTGTTAACAAAGAAATGTAATTCCTTAAGCCTAACTTGCCACTCCGACCACTCTAAGAAAGAGCTTTGTTTGTGGGCAGGTCCTCAGCAATTAGGGTTACCACTTTGACGAACAGAGTAAATGGTGATGCACTGTCAGGCCGGATTGGCTGTCTGTCTATTTGGAGGGGAAGTGGGCCTGAGTTGAAATAGCAGGTTTGCTGGGGCTCACCTGCACCTGCACCTGCACAGGCCCATGTATTTCCAGGGCCAGATCGAATTGTACAAGCAAAAGAAAACCAGTTTAGGATTTTTTATGTTACTTTTGATTGCCTCATGCCTTGCTACATGGGTGACACCACAAAAATCAGTGTTGCCTTCATCTTTGTCCGTCTCCATGTCTAACTCCTTGATTACATCAAGCATTTCATGTTTATTTGATAAGGAAAAAACTACATCTACAGATACTCAAGGATCTTTCCATCATTATTCGTTTCCCACTCTCTTAAGTCACTGTGCTTGCCTTTAAGTTCCATTTGGTTTACATTTGAGAAGGATTCAATCCTTCAGTGACGATTAAGAATCAAAACAGCAGCCTGAGTAAATCTGTGGCTTACTTGGACCTGCAGAGTCAAACATAAAGTTATAAGAAATTTCCATAAGTATATTACTACTAGGCATCCAAGAAAATCATGTAACAGATTTTATAAATGCTTATTGCTAAATGTGCCCTATAGTTTCTTTGTGGTTGCATCTCAAATATATGGGAAGAATCATTGAAAACATTTTTATAGACAGACGCATCAAAAAATGCAAAAGACAGGTTGGATGGACGGCTTCAAACGACATTCCTTTGGTTGTGTTTGTTCTCACAGAGATTTAGTTCACTGTCGTACAAGTCTCGGGAAGAGGACCCGACCCTCACAGAGGAAGAAGTAAGTGTTTTCTCTGTTTAAAGAACCAGAAAGCTCCTGTGATACAGAATAGGGCTTCTGTCCTGAAATAAATGCACTGGAATTTTACCCTTGGTCTGAAAAATGAAAGTACTTCCCTAAACTTAGGTTTGAAATCAAGGTTTGGGGATATTGGCTTTATAATGGCTAAGAGAAGAGCGAGCGAGTGGCAGAGGTTAAAATAAGAGGACAGAATGAGCAAAATAAGAGAAATTGAGCAGGAAAGGAGGTTCAGAACAACAGGAAAAAGGAAAGAGAAAGGAGGATGGGGATGGGGACAAAGAGAGAAATTGAAGTCTAAGAGCCTGACTCAGCAGTCTGGAAGACAACATTAGAAGGAAATAAATAATGAGTTGGAAAATGCAGCAAATTGGGACAGGTGGGCCTAGGAAACTTGATCTGGCCTGGGAAAGAGATGGAGACAGGCTTAGTGAGGAATTTGGGGTTCAGACAGCAGTTAATTTCCTGACGTCGCTTGATTTCAGGCTGGCGATAGGGGCAGACGTATGACCAGTAAGAAAGGATTGCATATTCCCCAGCACCATGGGGGGAAAAAAACACTAGTTGAATTTTTAGTGAAACATTAGAATTGTAACAGTCAGGAGATATATCTGTGTAAAGCTAAGCACAGACAGATATGAACACCTTAAGTTATCTAGCTGCATATCGCTTCTATCTGGGATGCCTATCACAGCAGATTTTGTACAGTGGAAATAAAAAATGCCTATGTTCAGGCATGACACTTCCTGTGATTCTGAGTATTGCAATGTGACGCGGGGCTCCGATTCCACATTGAGAGCTCAAGTAGCAGAGGCGCTCTCCTTAGGCGGGACTTGCCACCTGCCTCCACAGTCCCTGCCCCAGCGAGTGGATCTGCACACATTCATCTCTTCACACAAGCCAGAACCCTGGGAGCCCGCGTGGACACCCATTTTCCTCATTGCCCTCAGACCCAGTCCATCACCAAGCTCTGCTTCTCCTCCACCCACACCGTTGCATTCCCACAGCCAGCTCTCTCCCTCGGCACTGGGGCCAGCCCCAACTGGATCAGAGCGGCGGCCCTACTCGGCTTTGATTTGGTAGTACTCTTAGTCCCTTTCCAATCTTTCCTCCCTTAAGACCCAACGTTACCATTTTTATTATTTCAAAACACAAACTAGGCCCAACTAAGGATCCCTCATGGTACTTTGATTGGTAGTTCAAACCCACCAGCCACTCTGTGGCCAGAAGATGAGGCTCTCTGCTCTTGTAAAGATTGATATTCTCAGGAACCCTAGATGGGGTGGTTATGAGTTGGGATTGACTCAACAACAGTGGGTGATAAACCTCAGATTAATGCAAAAAAAAATAACATTAAGCCAACCGGGAGCAGCCCTGGTAGAGCAGTGGTTACAGTGCTCCTTGTCGAACAGAAAAGATGGTGCTTTGAATGCTGCAGCTGCTCCACGGGGCAAAGAGCTGGCAGTCTAAGTTGGGAATGCTAGCATGCCTTAGAACGGTCACCGCTGTGTGGCAAACGTTGTCCAAAGATTTACTCGATGATTCCAATGCTCGATTGCCAAGGACTGGAAGACCTGAGCCACCAGCGCGGAGTTTTTGTTCATGGTGGCAGAGTGATTTGCAAACAGAGTGTTACCATTATGCAGTGGGATGGATATGAATGGTACACAGCAAAACTCGTGAATGGGCAAGTGGTTTGTCTTATACATTGTGTAGTTAGGTGAGAGAATTTAACTGCAAAACTGAGCTACCCGCTGTCAAGTCCTATGCAAGTGCCCAGTTAACCGGCAACAGGCTGGTTTTAAGACGCTTCTGAGGCTGGCAGAAAGCTCCTCTGAGTGGGCTAAATCTGGGGAACGCAGGGATCTCTCCCTGGATGCCAGGGAGCCAGGCATCGGTCAGGAAGCGTGTTCATCCGTCCCTCCCTGGGGATTCGAAGGCCTCGTCCACTCCTGCAGAGAAGCACAGAGGAGAGGGAGAACTGGCTGATTTCGTCTGGTTTTCCGACAGTTTACAGAGCAGTTGTTTGGGGAGAAAAGGAAACCCATTGTGGCCGTAGAAGTTGATTGGATATTGAGTGAGATGGACAGAGTAGATGGCCTGGGAAAATAGCCTACTCTGACCACAGGAAAGAGCATCTCCGAAACTGATAGTCTCCAAATGTAGTTGGTTCTGTAGAAAAATGAATTTTCCCCAACAAAAAAAAATGAAGCCCAATCGTTGGATGTGTAACTGAACACTAACAAGAAACTCAGCAAATCAAATATGCGTGTCCTGCCCATCAGAATACCAGGATACGGTGGTCTGCAGCCCAGTTTGGTGCAGGAACTGGTGAACAGTCTAACCCAGTGGTTCTCACAGTTCTGTGGGCACCGGGATCAGCTTGGTAATAAAAAATGACAATCCAGTTTTAAAAATGAATAAAGGAGAGACATTTCTCCAAAGAGGTTATACCAAAAATAATAGCCGATCGGCACATGAGAAAGGACTCAGTATCATTAGTCATCAGAGGACTGCAAATGAAAGCCACGGTGAGATACCACTGCACAGCATTAGGCTGGCTGTCCTAAAAAGGTCAGGTGCCAGATCATAGATAAGTATGGGCAAGGATGTGGAGCACTGGACCCTCATTCACTGCCAGTGGGAATGTAGAAGATACTGTCTCAGCTAGTATTCTTGACCAGGTTCTAATAGCCACGGCTACGGCTACACAGAACACATAGAGTTAAGGGATCGTTAAGGGAGTTCACAGGTTGTAATGCAAGTGAGAAATGCTCAAGCTACAGTTGGTCATCAGGACACCTACAGAGTTCTTGCAGGGCTGCTGATATATGCCCAAGGACATACCAACCCAAAGACATTCCACTCAAGTGGCAAGGATCCTCACACCCAGCTCCCCCGTGGGAGTGCCCAGAGGCGCCCCACGCACTACCCCAGCACGCTCAGCTTGACCTGCTCCGCACGCTGGGAGTCCATCACTCTGCTCCACGCTCTGGCTCCCCGTTCTGATGTCACAGTGCCTTGTGGATTCAGGAAGTTCCCTGCGCAGGGATCACAGGTCCACTCCTGGCTCTTGCTGGTAGTGAGATCCGATCCCCTCCCCTGCCCTCCCTCCGCAGGATGGCATTCCAGTGAATCCTAGCCTGGCTTCAAGGGTGTCCCAAGGGCCTCAGTGTCTGCAGGTCTACTAAACTAAAAAGAACGCAGGCACCCTTCAGCTGACAAATGGATAACCACAGTGCGGTGTGTCCAAGCAATGGATTATTAGTCAGGTTTCAAAGGAAGAAATAAGTACTGACTCATGCTACAACGTGGATGAACCTTGAAAACATTATGTTCTATGAAAAGAGGCAGCCATAAGAGACGACACGCTGTAGGATTCCACGTATAAGAAACATTGAGGAAGAGACAAATCGAGAGAGAGAGAGAGAGAGAGAGAGAGAACACAGATGAGTGGTTGCCTAGGACTGCTGGGGGCGTGGAGCCCTGGTGGTGTAGTGGCCGCATGCTGGGCTCCGAACCACAAGGTCAGCAGTTGAGAGAAAAGAGCACTCTTTTGAGCCTCTAAAGAGTTCAGTCTTGGAAACCCAGGGGGCAGTTCTTCCCCTGTCTTACATGGTTGCTGTGAGTCGGCACTGACCGACTGCAGTGAGCATGGTTGGGTTTTGTGAGGACTGGGGCCCATTTACAGACTGCGGAGTGCTGCTCAAGTGGACGAGATTTCCTTTGGAGGAGATAAAAAGGTGCTAAAATGATTGTGAGGGCTGCACCACTTCGTCGAAACACCAAAAGCCAGTGACTTGTGTGCTTTACTGGCATGCCAGGTGAGTTACAGCTCCATAAGCCGATTTTCAAAACATAGCGTTTACAATCAATCTGTGCGAATATAGCCCGTGTTCACGCATAGAGTGAAGAATCAGTCTTAAAGGAAGACACACCCACCTGCTAGATGTCTAGCTGGTCACTAAAAAGCACGTGGGAGGGGAGGGGGCACTGGGCACCTCGGAGCTTGCTTATTCAGTTAGCCCTCTGTTTTCTAGATCTCAGCCATGTACTCGTCAGTGAATAAACCAGGACCGTCGCTGCAGGTGCCGGAAGCCACCTACACCTGTATTCAAGACGGAGCCCCCCAGCGATCCCCCTCGTCCTGTAGCGATCTCTATGCTACTGTGAGAGACTTTGAGAAAACGCCCAACAGGGTCAGCACCCCTCCCCCGGCCGAGGGCCCCAGCGCGGAGCCCGAGCCGGATTACGAAGCGATCCAGACTTTACCCAGAGAGGAGGGGAAGGCCAGCCAGGAGAGCCCCTGTGTCCAGGGCCCGGTCCCCAGAGAGAACGATTATGAGAGCATCGGGGACTTACAGCAGAGGAGAGACATCACCAGACTCTAGCGAGCCAGGACTCCAGTGCCATGTTGCCCGCCCCCTGGGGACATGGCTCCTCTGGGAAATGGCAAGTGAGGTACACCGACTCCTTTGATGCTGCTTTCGTACACCGAAGACCCCTGGAGATGCCGCGCCGCTTTCCCCAACGTTTTGAAAGAGTGAGGTACCTTCCTGGCCACACCCAAGTCTGCATCTGCCTGCCAGGGCACGGACATGCACACCCACACACATCATGCCCCCCTCACCCTCTGCAAAAGTCCGTGCTGGACGCTGGTCTCAGCCTGTCACCGAGGAACACCAGAATCAACGCCTGCCTAGTGCCGTCCACTCAGAAGATCCAGGGTTGGATTTCCTCCTTCCCTTATGTGCTCTTTAAAATGGGGGGTCCTCTTTCCCCTTGAATTCTTTGCATTTGTGTGGTTCATTCCAAGGAAATTCTTCCACAGGCTTGGTTTGGGCCTCCCACCTGGATATCTTAGTTCGGGGAGAACCTGGGGCTCGTGTCTCTCCCCCACCACTCCTCTTCTAAGAGCTGCCCCGGTGGTGCCGGGGCAGCTGAATCCCACAGGTGACTGGGCCTGGTGCAGCCATCTCTAGAGTCCCTCTACTGTCTGTTCTTCACATTTGGTGTGTTACGTCAACAACCTCTCCCAAGTTGTTTTATTTTTCTAATCAACCCCCACCCCCACCCCCACACGACTCAGTGTTTGAATCCTCTTCAGAGAGTTTTCCGTATTTCCAGTGAGTATTACAATACTGCTACACTTGCTTGAGCCCAGAGCTCACTCCTTCCCATCAGAGAGCCTTAATCTTTACGTTGGAGCACAGGCCCCGTGTGTGGACAAGGTCTTGCTGTCTGTCTGTCCTCCTGTGAAGACCTATTGGACATGAGTGTGCATTTCACACGATCTCTGCTGCCTACCCCAACAGAGTGGAATTTCTTAAATTCACCACTACCCTAAGGTAATTAATCTATGTCAGAGTGAAATGTAAACCTTTATTTTTGTTATATAAATTTATAAACTGTTTTGTGTTTATTGCCTCATTTCTTAAAAAGTGCCAGAAAAAAATGTAATTACCTATTTTGATTTTTATGTACAATGACTTCTACTCTCGTCTTGGAAAGACTCCATAAATAAGCACGGACGCTAGAGAGTTACAAGGAGTTGTTACCTTTCTGTTTCTACCCTCGAGTTTGAAACATGGCGGGGTTTTCAAAGGATTCAGCTTAACTGCATGGAACGTGAGCTCCAGGTCGGAATCGTCTGAATTGATGGATAAAAAATGGAATAAACAGAGAACAATCCGTTTCATTGGTGTGTGGTGCACAGTATTGGAGTTTTTGAAGTGTTAAAAGCGGACAGAAGAATAAAATGGGACTAGGAGTCATTTGTGAATTATGAACCTCCTAAGGTTACCATCGTTTCATTAGGGCCCCGTTTCATTGTTAAGAAATGATGAGCTCCACAGTCCAGTACATGGAAATGCAACTTGCCAATTGGAGTTCTCTGTATTTTACAGAAATCAGGGACTGAAGTAGCTCCTATTAAGAGCTCCATCAGGTTTTATTTCAATCCTCTCTCTATCTCTCATAGGACCAATACTGGGAGATTATGCACAGTTCTGATGTGGTCACCATTGGCAAATGTGTTCACTTCATTTTCAAAGGCACCTATTCCTAAGGGTGGTTTACAGAAAGGGGGCTTTCTCGAGCGAGAAGGAGGGAAGTAATTCTTCTATACCGCTGTGGCATTTGTGACTTTCAGCTGTAATAATCTCGCTGTTTTCAGCCGTCATGATGGAGAATGTGAGGCAGAGGATGAAACATGTTGAAAGTCGCACAGGACCACGTAAGGGCATGTTTCGAAGCCCTTTGCATTCATGGCTTGGTTTTGTGACTGCTCTGTATATAATTACCTTTCTGAAGTGGTCCAGTGAGCTACCTTGATGTAAACTGGTTATTTGTTGGTATTTTTCAACCAGTCTGGTCTCTCTTGCGAAAAGTCATGTCCATGAGTGTAATCATTGTTGATTAAAAGCCAAGAATGCCCTTTGATTAGCAAAAAGTTTATCAAGAAAGGGCCAGGCCCTTGGCCCCTGGCTGTACACCTTTACTGGCTGTGACTTAGCAATCTTGCATATGGTGGTACAGCCTCCGTACATGGGAATGGCCACTCCACATTGTGCATAGTTAGAGTCATGCGCTTCGTGGACACATGGTAACGCAGAACTTTTTTCAGTGTCTTAGCATGAAAAACATAGGCCTGGTCTCTGGAGTGTAATCCCATTTCTTGAGATGGAAGCTGACTGTAAATACTTATACCAACTTGAAATCTATTCGTTAGAATCTTTGTCCGGTTGCTTAGGTAATACAGCCCCAAATAGATTACTGACACATCACTCTTGGTTTGAGAACCAGTGGTCAGAAAAAGAAAAAGTGTTCTCAGTGTACTTTAAAAGGAACTAGAAGACCTGCAGGTATAAAGCCTAAAAGAATGAGATGGGAAGGAGAAGCAATGAGCTTTAGGAGGGAAGTTCTGCTCAGTCTCGTCTTTTGGGTACTTTGTTGAAGTATATTTATCAATGCATTGACATTGTTTTAACTTTACAGTACAGTTTGTCATATATTTCAATCATTTTTATCACTTGTAAACTTATGCTTGATCCTTTGGACAAAAGCTGATGTCTTCTTTTTAAAAGTTTCGTCTGGAGACATATGCTATAGAGCTTCAAGGTATGACAAGTAACTGAAAAAACTTTACTATACCTTTAAAATTCCATTTTGACAACTGTTTTATGTATTTGGTTATAATCTACATTATGTGAAATTATACAAAAAATTAAAAATAAATGTTAGCTGATTTTTTGGTCTTATGAACCAGAATCATAAACCTAACAATCTAACATGCCTGAAAGTAGGCTTCCTTTTTTTTTTGACTCAGAGACTTTGAAAGTTTAGAAGCATTTTGCATGCACCGCTCTCAATATATCTCAAATAGGGCTGACAAGAAAATGTGATCCGTTTTACATGTAATATTTGAGAAAATGTTTCATTCTAGAAGAAAGTAATGATTGCAAATATGTTGTATACATATAGAGGCATACGTTTGGGGTCTTTTTGTTTGGTTTTGCCGGTTGGTGACTAATTGCATCGTTAGGACAGGTAAAGCTTTTAAAGGCACTGCTATATGCATGAGATGACTAACCACTGATTTATCTGCCACCCATATCAGCGAGTTAATTTTCATTGAGGGCTGGATTCATCATAGTTCTTTTAACACAAAGAAGTGAAATTTAACCTCAGGATATCCCTTATGCTTTTCTCACTTTTATTTTCATTATTCTAATTAGAGCTTTGATAGGCTTCCACCAGTATCTTTTACATATGTACACATGTAGGGTACTTCTCACCCCTATTTGGAACGCCCCTTCTACTCGCGTGAGGGGCTTTCGTCGTAAAAGCAGAGTTGGAAGAAACAATTCTCCAGTCCGTTTCGTTTATAATGGCAGGAAAACCTTCTGCAGCCATCATCCCTCACCCTTTTTAAGTTTTTCCTAAACAAATAAACTTTAGATTGCACCCATAATTGTCTCCGCTCGGGGGTGGGGCAGCATTTCCAGACTGTTTTCTTATACAAAAGTTGTTGTTATTGTTGTTGTTTTACCCTGGAGCTGACACCAGTGGCTTGGCAACCTCCCCATGCGTACCCCTTGTCCGGCCATTGTGTCACATTGTCACTGCGTGAGTTCAGACTGCCCGCCTTTAGCTCAGCAGCCCATGGCAGACCCCTTTACCAGGTGTCCCAGAGGGGCACACATGGGGCTGCTAGCCGGAAGGTCCACAGTTAAACCCACCAGCAGCTGCGTGGAATCAAGAGGTTTTATAGTCTCAGACACCGATGGGCAGTTCTACCCAGTCCTGGGGGTCGCCGTGCATAGGAATCGCGTTGGGTTGGATCTTTGCACAACCTTCTGTATTCAACCTGAGACTCACTCACGCCAGTGACCAAACTCACTGCCACCAGGTCGATGCGACAAGGACCTGTAAATACAGGTACTTCCTGACGAAGGGATTGTGCAAAGGTGTGGCCTAGAAGAAAGGTACCAGGAACTGGCTGTGAGCCGGGCAGAGCGAAGACAGCAGAGGCCGGTACTGCCCGGTGGCATTTTCGTTCATTCCTTTTAGAAAGCACGAGGTTTTACACAGAGAATCCACATTGTACGATATTCCAAACTGCTTGGAGATGATTTCTAACGTCAGAGCTCCAGTGTGAGAGTGAACTAGGATTTTGTAAATGAGTAAAAGGTGTTTGTTTCAATGCACCCTGTAATCGTTCATGAAAGTTGGTGTAATCTAGTGATGCCGTTACTCTTAAAATGTCAATTTCTGATCTTCAGCCAGCTGCATATTGGCCGCTACAAACACTATAGGCACGGATGGCTGTTTTCCTTGGGGTGGGAG